AAAAAAAAGGAAAAGAAAAAGTGACTTGAATGAAATGGAGATAATACAGAGAGATACGAACTTGTAAAAATCATTAAGCATATCCTTAAAGAGATAAAAGATAATATTGTAGCCATGAACAAAAACAAGAAGCTGTAAAAAAGGGAAACATTCAAAGAAGTAGAAACAACACTTCGAAATAAACACATCATGGCGGGGAAAAGAAAAAAGAAAAACTGAAGAGTTGATAATAGGCCAGATGTGGTGCCTCATTCCTGTAATCCCAGCACTTGGGAGGCTAAGGTGGCGGATCACCTGAGGTCAGGAGATCGATAGCAGCCTGACCAACATGGTGAAACCCCATCTCTACTAAAAATACAAAAATCAGCCAGATGTGGTGGCGGACACCTGTAATTCCAGTTACTTGGGAGCCTGAGTCATGAGAATCGCTTGAACCTGGGAGGCAGAGGCTGCAGTGAGTCAAGATATGCATCATTGCACTCCAGTCTGGGTGACAAGAGTGAGACTCTGTCTCAAAAAAAAAAAAAAAAAAGAGGAGTTGATAAAGTTGAAATATTTCAGAAACTAGAGCAAATACAGAAAGAGATGTGGCCGGGCGCGGTGGCTCACACCTGTAATCCCAGCACTTTGTGAGGCCGAGGCGGGTGGATCACGAGGTCAGGAGATTGAGATCATCCTGGCTAACATGGTGAAACCCCGTCTCTACTAAAAATACAAAAAATTAGCTGGGCGCGATGGCTGGCGCCTGTAGTCCCAGCTACTTGGGAGGCTGAGGCAGGAGAATGGCGTGAAACCCGGGAGGCAGAGCTTGCAGTGAGCCATGATGGTGCCACTGCACTCCAGCCTGGGAGACAGAGCGAAACTCTGTCTAAAAAAAAAAAAAAAAAAAAAAATAGAGGATCAGTTCAGGACACCCTCTATCCAAGTAATAGGATTCCCAGAAAGAACAGAAAAATACTGGAGGATAATCATCAAAGAAATAATTTTTTAAAATCTCCCAGAACTGAAGGATGTCAGTTTCCAGATTGAAAAGGCCCATCAAGTGGCTAACTCAATAGATGAAAAGAACCCACACCATGGCAAATTGCTGTAAAAACAGAACCCTGGGAACAAAGAGAAGATCCTAAGAGCTTCCTGCAAGAATGGGAAAAGGGTCACATACAAAGAAGCAGGGATTGGAATGGCATTAGGTTTTTAAAGGCTAACATTGAACATTGAAAGACATGGAGGCTGGGTGCCATGGCACATGCCTATAATCCCAACACTCTGGGAGGCTGAGGTGGGCAGATCCCTTGAGCTCAGGAGTTTGAGACCAGCCTGGGCAACATAGTGAGACCCCATCTACAAAAAAAAAAAATTAAAAAATTAGCCAGGTGTAGGTACGTGCCTGTAGTCCAGCTACTCAGGAGGCTGAGGCAGGAGGGTTGCTTGAGCCCAGGGAATCAAGGCTGTAGTGAGCCATGATTGTGCCACTGCACTCCAGCCTGGGCTACAGAGTAAGACCCTGTCTCAAAAATAAAATAAGACAATGGAGCAATGCCTTAACTCCCGAGGAAGAATTATTTTCAACCTGGAATTCTATATCCAGCCAAAGTATCAACAGTGTGAGGAAAGATTAATAACTTTTTAAAAATAATTTCAACTTTTACTTTATTTTATTTGAGAGAAATCTTATTCTGTCACCCAGGCTGGGTGACATCATGGATCACTGCAGCCTTGACCCCCTAGTCTCAAGCAATCCTCTCACCTCAGCCTCCCGAGTAGCTGGGTCTACAGGCACGTACCACCATACCTGACTAATTTTTAAATTTTTTGTAGAGACAGTGTCTCTCTCTGTTACCTAGGCTGGTCTCAAACTCCTAGACTCAAGAGATCCTCCTGTCTTGGCCTCCCCAAGTGCTGGAATTACAGGCAAGAGGCACCATGCCCAGCCCAACTTTTATTTTAGATTCGGAGGTGGGTTCCTGCTCAGGTTTGTTACATGGGTATATCACATGATATTGAGATTTGGGATACTGTTGAACCCATCACCCAGGAAGTGATTATAGTACCCACAATTAATTTTTCAATCCTTGCCCCCACCTCTCTCCCTCCTCTAATAGTCCCCAGTGTCTATCGTTAACCATATTTATGTTCGTGTACCCAATGTTTAGCTCCCATTTATAAGTTAGAACATGGAGTATTTGATTTTCTGCTCCTGCATTAATTCACTTATGATTATAGCCTCCAGTTGCATACATATTGCTGCAAAGGGCATGATTTCATTATTTCTTATGGGTGTGTAATAACATTTTAAAACATGCACAGCTTCAGTAAATTTACCTCTTATGCCAACTTTCTCAGGATGCTACTAGAGGGAGAGAACCATTCATCCAAATGAAGGAGTAAATGAAAAAAGAAGATATGGAATCTAAGAAACAAGGGATCCAGCTAAGGAAAGAGGCAAAGGAATTCCCAAGATAATAATGAAGGGAGATCCCTGGAGGGCAATTTTGCAGCAATGACAGATAGAAGCAGAGCAGAGGGCTCCTTAAGAGATGCCTCTCAGAAGATAGAATAGATAGAACATGTGATGCATTCGAAAGCCTGCATAGGGAAATTCAGACAATTGAGGGAGTGTTTGAGGTTGACTTACTGATAACTACGTAGCAAACTAGGCAATATAATAATAATAATTGTAAGGATAAAATGTCATAAGAAATAAACAGTAACTATAGTAAACTACATGGCTTAGCTGTGAAGAGCATTTCCAAATCCTAATAAACACTGAGTAATTTTATTACCTATTAGGAGGATGGAAGATGGGAAGGGTATCTGTATGGCAGGGGAGTGGGGAGTGGGATGAAAGTTAAATCCTGGCTGGGCGTGGTGGCTCACACCTTGTAATCCCGGCACTGTGGGAGACCATGGTGGGCAGATTATTTGAGGTCAGGAGTTTGAGACCAGCCTGGCTAACATGGTGACACCCTTTCTCTACTAAAAATACAAAAATTAGCCAGGCGTGGTAGCTCATGCCTGTAATCCCAGCTACTCAGCAGGCTGAGGCAAGAGAATCGCTTGAACCCTGGAGGTGGAGGTTGCAGTGAGCTAAGATCGTGCCACTGCATTCCAGCCTGGGCAACAAGAGAGAAACTCTGTCTCAAAAAAGAAAAAAAAGAAAGTTAAATCCTTAATCTTACATAGTGTGGGAAATCAATAGAAAATGCCTAAAATTTAAATACCAAGAAATAGCAATATAAGCATGTTATATGGAGATTAGGAGGTAAATACCAAAATAAACAGCTAAATAAATAATTATAGTTGTTTCTGGGAAGTAGGACCAGGATGGGAGAACTATTCGTGTTCATAATCTTGTGGAACTGTTTGCCTCTTTAATCTCTGTGCATCTGTTACTTTGATTAGAAATAAAACTGGGCTGGATGTGGTGGCTCACACCTATAATCCCAGCACTTTGGGATACTGAGGTGGAAGAATTGCTTTGAGCCTAGGAGTTTGAGACCAACCTGGGCAACAAGGTGAGACCTTGTCTCTACAAAAAGTAAAATTAGCCAGGTGTGGTGCACGCCTGTGGTCTCAGCTCCTTGAGACTGAGGTGGGAGAATCGCTTGAGACCAGGAGATGGAGGCTGTAGCGAGCCCTGGTTGTACCACTGCACTCTAGCCTGAGTGACAGAATAAGACCCTGTCTCAAAAAATAATAATAAAAGTAAAACTAAATAAAACTAGTTTTAAAAAGTCATTTGTGGCAGCACCTTGGGTTCACAGAGCAGAATGCTAGAGGCGAAGCTATAGAGATGGGCAAGAGCCATGTGTTACAGGCTTTTGAATGCCAGCTGCTAAAATGTTTAGATTTCATTCTCTAAGAGCAGGGCAGAGTTCCCTGCTATTGTAGATGTTAGGATTCGGCACTCTCTAAGGGCAGTGCAATGCCCATAAAGGCTCTTGAACAGGGAGAGACAGGTTCAGACTTGTGCTTAGGGAAGGTAACAGTGCATCTGAGCTGGAACGGACCCTTGAGATTACCCTGTAAGTCAAATTTACTTCCAGTACAGACAGGTAGACTGGTGTGTACAGGGGAGAAGGCCTGAATGCCCGGCCAGTGAGATTCTGATCATTCTAAGCTCTGGCCAACCCTTTCCCCTCTCGGTGGCTGCTACCAATGCCCTGAAGAGACTAGGGAACCAGGTTACCTCTCTTTATTCCCCAGCTCCTGCCTCCTTTTGGCCCAATCTACTTCCTGATTAACACCTTTTCTGGCTCTTCTTTGTTTCTATGTCTTTCTGGTGAATCTGAGCAGGCTCAATACTCAGTACCCTGTGGCTGGGCATGGTGGCTTATGCTTATAATCCCAGCAGTTTGGGAGGCTGAGGCGGGCAGATCACCTAAGGTCAAGAGTTTGAGACCAGCCTGACCAACATGGTGAAATCCGTCTCTACTAAAAATACAAAATTAGCTGGGCATGGTGGTGCATGCCTGTAATCCCAGCTAATTGGGAGGCTGAGGCAGGAGAATCGCTTGAACCCAGGAGGCGGAGGTTGCAGTGAGTTGAGATCATGCCATTGCACTCCATCCTGGACAACAAGAGCGAAACTCCATCTCAAAAAAAAAAAAAAAAGAAAGGTACCCTAAATATGAAGTTCAAAGCTTAGTAGAACTGGATTTTAATACTTAACATTTACTGAGACCTTCCTCTGTGCTAGGTACTGTGCTGAATACTTAATAGACAGCATTTCAGAATCCTCACAGCTACCCTGTGAGGTAAGTGATTTAATCCTGTTTTGCAAAGAGTCTGAGGCTCAAAGAAGATATGGCTAATCAGTGGTAGAGCTGAAATGTTAGGCAGCAGTCTCTCTGCTTCTGAAGCCCACACTGCAAGCCGTTATAATTCCATCCGTCTTCAAGTGAAACATAGTTGGCTGAACCACAAGGTAGTGGCCTGTAGAAATGCTGGGGAAACCCACGCCCCAGAACTGGTACTAATTCCTTCTCCCACTCCCCCAGGCTTACCTGCGAGCCATCGATGTGAAGATCCTGCAGCAGCTGGTGACGTTGAATGAGGGCATCGAGGCAGTGCGCTGGCTGTTAGAGGAGCGGGGCACGTTGACCAGTCATTGCAGCAGCCTCACCAGCAGTCAATATAGCCTGACAGGCGGGAGCCCAGGCCGCTCAAGGCGAGGCAGCTGGGACAGCCTGCCAGACACCAGCACCACCGACCGGCTGGACAGTGTCTCTATTGGCAGCTACCTGGACACAGTGGCCCCCAGCGAGCTGGATGAACAGGGCCCACCTGGGGTTCCACGTTCCGAGATGGACTGGGCAAAAGTTATAGCTGGTGGAGAGAGGGCCAGGACTGAGGTGGATGCGACAGCCACCAGGCTAGGGAGCTTGAGGGCTGTGTGGAAGCCCCCAGGGGAGAGGCTTCAAGGTGGACCACCTGAGTCACCAGAGGATGAGAGTGCCAAGCTGGGCTTCGAGGCCCACTGGTTCTGGGAGCAGTGCCAGGATGATGTGACCTTCCTGTAACAACTTTTCCACCCTTTTGTAATCCTGTGGCTCTTTTATCCGTTAGCTGTGGTCTCCCCTAAAATTGATTCTCCCTCAGTCTGAGACTAGGAAGAGGCTGCACTGAAATCAGTTACCATAGAAACCTGGCTCATCATTTCTCTGGTCCCTAGGGAGTCTCTGCCTTTATCCGTCAATTATTGGGTCCCTAGAGCTAGCTTGCTTGCTCTTTCTTTCTTTCTTCCTTTCTTCTTTCTTTTTTTTTTTCTTTTTTTGGGACAGGGTCTTATGCTGTCACCCAAGCTGGAGAGCAGTGGCATGATCACAGCTCACTGCAGCCTTGACCTCCTGGGCTCAAGCAATCCTCCTATCTCAGCCTCCCCCATAGTTAGGACTACAGGCATCCACCACCATGCCCGGCTAATTCAAAAAAATTTTTTTGTAGAGATAGGGTTTCCTTGTGTTGCCCAGGCTGGTCTGAAACTCATGGGCTCAAGGGATCCTCCTGCCTCAGCCTCCCAAAGTGCTGGGATTGTGCCCAGCCCCTAGAGATATTTCTACAGAGATATTGACTCTAAAGGATTGACCTATGGCTTTTGGTGTGAAGTATCTCTCACTGCTCGCCCCAGCTAAGTAAGGGTTTAAGGAATTTAGGACTCCCTGGAGTTAACAGATGAAGAGATGGGGGTATAATTACTTCACCCAAAGTCTAGAAGCCTTGACCCTTCTCTTGGCCAAGATGGAGGATTGAGGAGGGACATGGACCTTCAGGACTAACCCTCTATGGATTGGCCCTCCCAGAAGCGTTTGGGCTGGTAGACCCACCCCTTCCTACCTGCTGAGTGATGTCATTTCCTGCCAGGATGGGTAGTCGTTTGTACGGGTCCTTGGATGGTGGTAGGTCATATAGGGGTATCTGAGACCCTGCTGCTAAGTGAGATCACATTATTTATCGTCCATGCCATTACTTCTTGTGAACAGGAACATGTCACCCCTCCTGGCAGGAAAGCTTCTCATTGTCATGTTTGTGCTTCCTTTCAGAAGGTTCTTACTTTTTAAATAGAGTATTCTCATTTTATCCTAGGGGATCTCACTTCCTTTGTGGCTCCATCCCTGCATCCCTATCTGGGCCAGCACTCCTGACTCTGCTTTTAGGGAAAGAAGCTTTCAGGGGCCTCCATTTATTGCTCTCAAGTTTGTTTGGCTTACCCTGCCATGGTCCCCTGTCTTACCCTGTCCCTGTGTTGCCCCCATTCCTGTATTCCATTTTTCTGTTTTGTTTTGTTCTGTTTTTGAGACAGGGTGACAAGGTCTCCCTCTGTTGCCCAAGCTGGAGTGCAGTAGTGCTCACAGCAGGCTCGACCTCCTGGACTCAAATGATCCTCCTTCCTTAGCCTCGCAAGGAGCTAAGACTACAGGCATGCATCACCATGCCTGGCTAATTTTTGTATTTTTTTCCAGAGACAGGGTTTCACCATGTTGCCTAGAGTGGACTTGAACTCCTGGGCTCAAGCAGTCCTTCCGCTTCAGCCTTTTAAAGTACTGAGATCACAGGCATGAGCTGCTGTGTCTGGCCCTATTCCTGTATTCTGACTCCGTATCTCCCTGCCAGGAGGTTCAGTTTCTGTGTGTCCGTGCCTTTTCAGTTTCTCCAGGCCTTTTATATGCAGATTAGTCCTGGCCTCTCTGCCTGTGTTGATGGAGCCAGGGAGAGAGAAGCTCAAGGTCTCAGAGCTCTGGGGGTGTACTAGAATCTTGGATGGTGGAGGTGTCATCCTCTCTGACTTTGTGACTGCCCTTCCCCCACCCTGTCCCCAGCCTTCCACCATTTGGTCACAAGGATGCCTGCCTGAGGTCGGGACACAAGGAATCTCCTTGTCTGGGCTACAGTGTGGGGGCGTGGCAGGGAAAGACAGAAGCTCTTTGGTTCCTGGGCCCCATCCTGGAAAGGGAGAGGGAGCAAGGGAAAGGCCTGTTTACTTCCTCCCTTAGAGCAAGCCCTGACTCCTGGAACCTGAGGAGGGAGCAGAGTCTGGGTCTCTGAACCTGGGTCCCAGAGCCCTACCGAATTACAAATTGCATCATAGAAGAAATTCAGGGAAGTTGCCAACCTGGGGCTCAGAGAGGGGACGGTCCCAGAGAGGGGGACAAGAGCTGTGGCTGGTGTCAGAGAATGAATTCTTAGAGATTAACCCTTTAAACTCTGGGTAACTGCTCCATATGTTAGTCCCTGCCTTTCCTGGGCCTTGAAACTGGGATACTAGAGGGAAAAAAAGGGAAAAAGATGTCAGATGACTTTGACTGTTCACTGCGTCCTCCTGCAAAAGAGGCATCCTCCTCAAATCCTGGAATAACTCCTGCCATTTCTCTATTTTGTATTCTGTGTTGGGGAAGGGAAGGAAGCCAAATTGATCATCTCTGCTTCCCTAAATTCCTCAAGTCTTGTTTTGAAACTCCCACCCCGGTCCTTCTGGAGCAATATTCAGTCCATGGCTTGTCCCTAAATACCCTCTCTTCCCCTACCACCCCCTCAAATGATTGAAATCTCCAAAGTATATTATCGGCCTCTTCCACTGCTCACAAGACCTCTCCATACTTCTCCTATGGTCTTGGGACTCCTGGCTTCCCCTCAGACTGGGAATTCAGATCTCCTATTCCAGTCCCTGCTCTGTTGTCATTTTGTAGTGTGCCCTCAGTTAATTACCCTTCCTGTTTGTGTGTGTGTGTGTGTGGTTTTGTTTTGCTTTGTTTTGTTTTGAGATGGAGTCTCGCTCTGTCATCCAGGCCGGAGTGCAGTGACGTGATCTCGGCTCACTGCAACCTCTGCCTTCCGGGTTCAAGCAATTCTCCTGTCTCAGCCTCCTACATGGCTGATATTACAGACATGCACCACCATGCCTGGCTAATTTTTGTGTTTTTAGTAGAGACGGAGTTTTGCCATGTTGACCAGGTTGGTCTTGAACTCCTGATCTCAAGTAATCCACCCATCTCAGCCTTCAAAAGTGCTGGGATTACAGGTGTGAGCCACCTGCCTGGCCTGTTGTTTTATTTTTAAGACAGGGTCTCACTGTCACCCAGGCGGGAGTTCAGTGGTGCGATCTCAGGTCACTGCAGCCTGCGCCTACTGGGCTGAAGTGATCCTCCTTATCCTCCTAAGTAGCTGCAACTACAGGCACGTTTCACCGTGCCTGGGTTACTTTTTGTATTTTTTCTAGAGACAGTTTTGTCATGTTGCCTAGGCTGATCTCAAACTCCTGGGCTCAAACAATCCTCCCACCTCAGCGTCCCAAAGTGCTGGGATTACAGGCCTGAGCCACCATGTCTGGCCTTTATGTCTTCTTTTTTCTCTTCAGCAACATATTCATGGAATCATACCCTTCTTGGAAGCCATTGTATAGTATTCCCGTTTGAGGTTCACTTGTTCAGGCTACACACTTATGAGCTGAAGAGGTTGCCCGCCCTCTTGTGGCTATTATGCACCACTGCTGGAGTTGCTGGATGGAACCTCCAAGCTCAAATAAAACATGGCCTTCTCAGTGCGCAGAAAGGCTAGTGAGTCAGACCTAGAGAGGGCATAGACTTGCCCAGCATCACCCATTGTAAAGTTGTGGCGACACCCAGGTCAGAAAACCCAGATCACAAGCCCACATGCCCACAGCTCCATCACTTGGCCAACTATTCCCAGTCAACACCACTGAAGCCCAAAGGGACTGAAAGCAATTTTGCCCCTGTTAAAATGTTTGCATTCTCATCCCTTCCTAAAGAGGCAGCTTAGTCTTTAGAGGAAGAGCTTCAGGCTCTGAGGAAAGAAAACTCTGGGCCTGGACCAGGTGAAGGGGTGAAGGATGCACTAGTCTGGATCACAGATAGGAGGAAAAATCAGTCCTGGACCCACCATTTTCCTGGGAAGGACATCATAGGAACAGAGCTCAGCATTTCAGACCTGGGGGTTAGAAGCAGAGGTGGGGGTGGGGCGCTGTGAAATTAGGAAACTTAGATGGGTCTTGCAGAAATAGGTGTGGCTCCACAGGTCAGGGAATTACAGGTCAATTGGATAGGCACCTGAGAGTGTTGTGGGGCTGGAAAGCTGGGGTGAGTGAGGCTGCCTGGGTATTCCGCTTAGGTCTAGGCATCCTGGCTGAATACCTTAGATTTCAGTTCACCACCAGAGAAGCCCGGAAACTCCAGTAAACACATATCTTTGGTCCCTTCTACCTACCTCTAGATTGGCTGGTTGAGGCTCAGCTTCTCTCTAACTAGACTTCTGGCTTATAGGGTGCAGCCGCTTGGGAGCGCAAAGAAGGAGAAGGTAAGAAAAAGGAGAGAAATGCAGAGAGAGGAGAGGATGAGATGACGGTGTGGAAAATATCGGAGGGTGCGTACTGCCCTCAAGTGCACTGGGGGCTTTTGTCCAGGTTCAGAGTAAAGACAAAGACGAGGCTGCTCATGGAAGCTGCAGAAACAATGCCTGTGGGAATAAGGGGTGTGAGATGGGAGTGGGCAATGTAAAGACCTGCATTTATTTATTTTATTTATTTTTTTATTTTGAGACAGGGTCTTACTCTGTAGCCCAGACTGGAGCGCAGTGGCACGATCTCGGCTCACCGCAACCTCCACCTACCAGGCTCAAGTGATTCTCCTGCCTGGGACTACAGGCGCACGCCACTACCACCCAGCTAATTTTTGTATTTTTAGTAGAGATGGGGTTTCACCATGTTGGCGAGGCTGGTCTCGAACTCCTAACCTCAAGTGATCCACCCGCCTCAGTCTCCCAAAGTGCTAGGATTACAGGCTTGAGCCACCATGCCCGGCCAAGGCCTGCATTTAGGATGGAGGCATTGAGGTTGAGCACTGAGCTAACTGGAAGCTCAGTGACAGCTTCAGTGAGAAATGCTTGACAGTTATAGCAGACACAAGCTCACTGTGTGTATGGTGCCAGGCACACACTGGGTGTTCAGTGACACCTGTTCAGTGACTGGAAGAATGAATATGTGTAAGCCCACAAGGAGATGTGACTTAAAAAAAACTTGGTCATTTACAAATTAGGTAATTGAAAATATTTTTAAATTGACTTTTTAGCAATCCTATAAACAGTGCGTTGTTAACAATAGTGTTACTTAGAAATTTGCTCAAGGTCAGTTAAGTAACAAAAGAGCTATAATAACCTAGATCAACCTAACTGCAGGGGCTTCCAGGAAGTCTTCTCTGATTCCCTACCCGTGCCACACACTCATTTAGACCCTACTCTCCTAGGAGAACAGATTAGTGCTGCCCAGAAGCTGCGGCAGGACATTAGTTTCCTACTGTCATTGTAATGAATTACCACAAAGTGGCTTAAAAAACAAAATTATTATGTTGCAGTTCAGAAGTCCGAAATCAGCTTCACCAGGCTAAAGTCAAAGTGTTGACAGGTCTACACTCCTTCCGTGGGCTCCAGGAGAGAATGTTTCCTCGCCTTTTCCAGCTTCTAGATGCTGCTTGCAGTGCTTGATTCGTAGTTCTTTTACCATCTTCAAACCCAGCAGCAGAGCATCTTCTCTTCTCTCTAACCTCTGTTTCCATCCCTACATCTCTCTAATTCTACTGCCTCCCACTTGTAAGGATTACATTGGGTCTACTGGGATAATCCAGTATCATCTTCTCGTGGCAAGATCCTTAATTAAATCCTGTCTTCAAAGTCCCTTTTACCATTTAAGACAAAATGTTCAAAGGTTAAGCAGGTGGTGGTGCGTGTCTGTAGTCCCAGCTACTCGGTGCTGAAGCTGGAGCATCACTTGAGCCCAGGAGTTCAGGCCAGCCTGGGCAACATAGTGAGACCCCTTGTCTTACAAGAAAATTTATATTTATCCACAGGTCCTGGGGATTAGGAATTGGCCATCTTTGGGAAAGAAGCTATTATTTAGCCTGACACAGGCAGAGTGGAAAGTGGGCAGGAGGATGCACCCAGGCCCAGAATGAACCTCTGTGCTTTGTCCAGCCTCGCCTAGCCTGGAATGAGAGGTGGTACCAAGGCAGAGGTGGCAGGTCCAGACCCCATGTTTAGAGAATGTCAAGTGCCTCCTGTACCATAACCACCAGGGAGA